CGATGCGTCAGAACGAATTGAAATTATCGCGACAATTGTAACTCCTCGTTCCACGTGTCCGCCGAGGTCAGAAGGTCCACAACCTCATCTGCAGGAGTCTCTCTTTAACCCGTGCCGATGGATAATCTCCTCTTTTGCATAATATTTTTCCTGCCCACCAATAACATCTCCATCGCCTCTTCTGCGTCTCCGGAGAGTTCACCGATTATTTCCTCCGGGGTCATTCGGTCGCATGACTCAATCCTAGCCTCTTCTCCTCGGAGTAAAAGATCCTGCATTCTGCCCGGGACAAATTGAACTCCTTCGGGAATTTAATAACCAGTCTTCCTCGCCAGGCGCTCTTCCAAATCCCCGACGTAATCGTTCTAATTTCGATTTTCTATTTCAGGTTGAAGCGGACCAGGAAAAGCCGAAGGGCCCGATTCCGTCGTCACGTACAAGCGGAGGGAATTCCGCGGGACATCCCGAGGGTCCCGACTACTTTCCGCGTTGCCGAGTGATCGTCGAGCTTGGACGAGTAGTCCTTCTTCGAAGATGAATCGGATGCTGTTGCAGGAGCCCGGGTGGAAGTTGGACCGGAAGGGATCGGCCCTTTTCTTGAGGAGGGACAGCTCGCACCTGAAAGCGGCTCGCGTGTGTTTCCGGTGCGACGTGGAAGTTCGCGAGTTCGAGAGGGACGAGGAGTACTACGTGGACTCGGAACCGGAAGCCGCCGCGAGTCCCTTGGCGATGTGCGCCAGCTGTTTGGCAGCCATCTGCGTGACCGTGGTCCTCCCTTGGCTGCTGATCGGCGGATAGATCCGCGTTTTCGCCTCGAACCAGCATCAAGCCCCGATGGATTCGAATCGTCTCGACGAGGGTCGATGAGAGAACTCCAGAGAAGCACAGTGGAACAAATCTCGGGTGTCTCGAAACGGGGGAAGAAACTCGAAGGTTAATACCGACCGCCAACCATCGGAAGAGTCCTGGAAGCTTCCGGTCTTTTTGGGAGCGTCCCGGAAACCTTCCGGGCTAGGATTGACTTCCCGCGGATGTTTTTTGTCTCCGGGAAAGATGGGAATCGAGACGACGCGACGGGACCAGAAAATGACGGAAAACGAGGAACGGACAAATGGCGCGAAAGACATCAAAGGCACGCGCGCCGAGAAGTCGCGACGCCCACAATTCTCGCTCGCTCGGGGAAATTCGTCGATTCTTTCCCTCCCGAGAGTTCGTCTTTGAGCGGACCTTTGCTTCCTTATGCGCTTGTAACGTCGCTCCTTTTACCCTCTCGCTTCCTTTTTTCCCTATTTTCATCCCGCGAGTCCGTCTCTTCTCCACCCTCGTCGCTGAGCAATTTTTTCAATCTTACGTTCACCGATACCGGATCCCGATAATTGTGCCCATAATTATGAAAGTGGTCTAAGTCATATATTTTTTGTTTCGAAATTACATTGAATTAATTTCGTTTGAAATAATATGCCGTGAAATAACTGATACTCATTTTTTTTTTTTTAATTTTGACTTAGACCACTTTCATAATTATGGGCACAATTGCGGTCCGTTCCGCGGACCGTCCACCCAGAGCATGATTTACTTAACTCGAAGCAATTCTTCTCAGCCGAGTGAACGTAATTATTTTTCGTAGCAGGTGGTCGGCGGAAATTTCCCGCTGCGGTAAATTAGTCCCGGTAAACCAATCGTCTCGTTGATCTACCGAGAGGAGTTCCCCGCTGTTTTTCCGCGACAAAGTCGATTTGCTGCCGCGGCGGGTGCTTCCTTTTGTTTCCCGGGAGTATCGGGAGAATCGGTCACGTTCTCCTAGAATTGATCGAAAAATATCTCGGAAGAAGACCGGGTCTCCTCGAGGAGTCGATCGATCGAATCCTTCGTATTTTCTCCTCGGGTTTCTCGCTTTTTCCCGGCGTGCCGGGAAACTTTCTGAGCGAGTTCTCGCGTTACCGCGAATAAGATCCACGTCTCTATGCTCGGTGACTGACTTTTCGAATTCCCGGAGGAATTCTCCCCCGCTAAAGTTCCCGGAGAGGAAGCTGGAAGAATCCGGCAGGGGATCCTTGATATCGACCCATAAGGACGTTGTTCGAAAGAACTTCCGGCTCTCGATCCTCGTTAAGTCGGTTCCTCGGGCGGGAAAAACAGAGTGCTTCCAAACGCGAAAGCGGATTGCCGACTAGCTTATATTTCTACTTTTGAAAATCCAATTTTCGTTGCACGTAATTCGTATATAAAAACAACGGTAGCGTACTCTCTGGGTATTATCGAGTGCGATGTGAAATCTATGTACATAGCGCTAGATCGGACCAGGTATTAAAATCGGTACAAAAAGAGATCCCAGGGAAATGTAATTTCCCTCGAAGTGAAAGCGCAACTCTGACCGTACTTCCATGGGTGGTGCATAGTTTATAAGGACTCGATGTGAAATATACAACTGTCGATATATTAGTGGCGATTCGATATCTAGGAGGTATTTCTACGGAACAAAGTTAATTACGTCGGCTGCTTTTGAGTATCGGCATTGGAATGGTCGTTGTATCGCGGTGAGACTCGTTTTACAAGTGAAATATTTTCAAACGAATCCTGGGGATGTGTGATAATTACTTTTAACGTAACGGGTCGTTAAGTTAACAAGGTCTTGATCCAATTACTGGGCAATATTTCATCGACAATGGCGCAGTCTCGATTACGATCGTATGCCTTCGCGTTACCTGTTTAGATTTCAGGATTATAAGTTATTCTTAAATATAAGTATTATTCCTATTTGCAGTCGAACATTGTATTCGCCCGTCACTTCCTCTCATGACTAGTAATAATGCAACTTTCGATTACCCTTGTACATATTAAAATTGAAAGAGATGTACAATAAAAGTGTTCTATTTTTTAGAGCACTAGATTTAATGCAGTCAGGAGGTGACACCAAGTTTCTAACCTTTTCTCGTTTGAAGAACTTTACGGCACATCTTTTTTACGCGATTTTAAGAACGTGTCGGAGAGTCTATATTAATTGTCCCTGAAGTAGGGTGGCAATAAAAATATCCGAAAGATGGAGTTAATGGTGCACGAGAGGGCCACGTTTATTTCCCAGATGCAACGAGGTCGTATTTCCGGGAGCTCAAACCTATCGGAGCTTTCCGGCAAAATCGCCCTAAATTTGTGAGCCCAGGACACGCATACGGGGATAAAATCGAAATCGTCGAAAAAGCCTGCAATTGATTATCGACTGGACGCGCGGGTCCATCAATGTATTTGTTTATGTTTCTAATAAAAGCGGATACCAATTCAACGTGGATGTTTCCCTCCGATCTTACCATGCCGGGCAACTTCGCAACGGATGCATTTTCTGATCGCGACTTTCGAAATACCTGAAATTATATTTAAATCGGTTATTGCACGATATACAGTCTACTGTGTCGTAATCGATGTACTCCACGCCGCGTGGATAATTTCCTCTCTCGGCCGAATGTTTGGAAATTTTCGCATCCGGCGACCCCCCGGTTCCGGGTTTTCGGAAAATTCGTAACGGGCAAAAATGTTTTTCATTCGGCTCTCCCCGATCCTCCTCTCCGGCGTATGACCCGCGGTCAGTAAAAATATGCGCATATTCTCCCACTGAATTGTGGGAATTTAATTTCCCGGTGCCGGGCATAAATATGCATTGCGCACCTTGCCTCTGATTTATGCGCGATTACGCGTGACCGCCGATTTCACGGACTGAATGTGCACGCCTCGCGTCTTTATGACAAACTCGCCATTTCGATGTTTCCGCCATTTTACTTAGAGATGCCCCCAATTCCACCCGCGAACGATTCGACTCGACTTTTTGATTTCTACCGGGAAAGCACCGGCGAACATTGGCTTTCGGATTCGACAGGAATCGGTACGCGAATTCGATCAGTCTCGCGTAATCGAAAGACGATCCGACCTTGGCTCGAGTCGGTCGGAAAAGACGATAAGCTAACGCATCGAGAGAGGCGTTGCGCAAGAATTGGCGAGGTCATACCTGCGTTTTCCCCGGCCAAAGTTATAAGTGGGCTCGGGCCCGATTTTCGTCAATTGCCTTTGACGCTCGCGAGCGGCGGATGTTTTCCCGGTCCGATTTCTTCTTCCCCCCTTCTTGTTTTCGCTTAATTCCTGGGAACTAAATTTAGCAGAAATCGTCGATGTAGGTTGCCTCGGGCGCGGCAATTTGGCTTCTCAATTTGCCTCGCTTCCGGTAGCGCGCTCGGATGGAGTTTCGAAGTTTCCGGGTAAAATGAATGGAAGTAATCAACTCGGCAGTCCAATAATTGGTTTAATAATCGGGGGAAGGGCCACTCGACGTTGAAAACGCGCACGGAAATCGAATTACTTCATTAGATTCCCTTTGACGAGGTGTACTCCCATTCGTTTCGAATCTCTGAGGTCGGTAATTCCATTCGCGTAGCGGGTGACGTTATCCACCGGAACTCCGTTTCGGTTCCCCTGCGTTCTCGAGATTCTTCGGGTCCCGCTTGTGCCGACTCCACCGCGCTCGAATATCGCGTTAATTTTTCCCGAGCACGCCAGCGTCGGCGGCCTTTTAAATTGCGTGCTCCGTAGTCCGGGATTGAAACAAATTGGCTCTAATTTGACTCAATTGGTCGCCGTTTCGAGAAAAAATCCCACGCGGAGACATCTACACGAGCGAAGAAATCACGGTCAATTAGGCATCTGCGTTACCGGCGCTGGGAAAGGAGGTCGAGGGGAGCACCGACGAGAGCTGATCAACTCTGATCTAAACCTTTACTCGCCAAGACTACCAGCTCCAAATATCAAACTAGGACTCCAATACCATATCCTTGATACTTTTCTGCATTTAGGAATTTCATTACCGACTTGCAGTGCACGTAGGTACCGGGAGCTATCGTAGTTACTCGGCGCGGCGCTCTGCCATACCGACGCCATTTCGGTTCGGCCACGCGCCGAGGGGCGGCGCCACCGCGGCGGTCACGGCCATTTCGGCGTGTGAGGTCGTTGGGCACGGGCCGGCTCTTTCGAAATAGGATAATTTTACCAAAATGTCCGCGTAATCGGGCAGTGCATCGCGAGGAATGGCGTGTCGACGAGAATATCCGAATGAGGTGCTACATCAGCCGGTCTAACTGCACTCGGGTGGTCTATTTCCGTCGTGTTTACCGATGTTTTTCTAAGGGCCCCGCGAGGCCCGAGGCTTACGGCGTTTCTACGGTTTTCGTGTTTAGACATCCGAGAGGTCGAAAATCTCAATAGTGCGCGTCGGGCGTTTCCTTCTCGAGTACACAAAGGGAACGAGAAGGAGCGAAGGAGGCCGAACGGATCCAATCCTCGGAGTGTGATACCGAGCTACGAGCAGGCGGACGAAATAATGCTGCCACTGTTAGAAGACGAGCAGTGTGAGTTTCGGCTAAAATTACGAAGCGCCGATGTGTACGTTACGCTCCTGCGAGCTTAATCCTCCCGCTACCTCCCTAGTAGAGCCACGAAAATGAGGCTCCTGCGCATCGAGTGCCAAGAAGTAAGACATTTAATTAGAATTGAGTAGGGCTTTTAAATCCCGTTGGAAAGTTACCGAATTAGGATTTACGGTACCATGGAATTCAATTCGCGATCCCGTGATGACCGGCAGATGCGATTAAGTGGAGAGTTCTACCTTCAAAATGTATCTTTTCTTGAGATCGTGCCCCATAAATCGCGGTACCTTCTGTGTGATCGGTCCCATTAACCGAGCTCTTTGTTTTCTGTTACAGTTGCCGGACCTGAACAGTCTCGACGACAAGGTGAGTCAAGTTTGTTGTTTATCGCCCATGTTTTGCTCTTCGCGCCAAGAGAAAGACATTGGGCCGGTAGGTACACTCGTTGACTACCAATAAACAGGATAAATCTTGTCTCAACCGCGTGGCGCAACGAGTACTTTTCAATAACGATTCCCCGAGGCTTTAATTAACACGGCCAGGTGGTAATTAAATCCCAAGCAAAATGCCCTTTGCCCCGACTGCGCCGAAGCGATCGGGGAAATATCGGAGCCCGGGAACGATTTGCTCCGGATCGGTCTCAGCCTCCATTGAACATTTTCTTCCTTCCGAAAAAGGCGAAACTAAAGAAACATCGCCGACACCCGTGGCCAAGGATTTGTAGGCCCGGCAATCCGATTTCCATGTTACGCGCGACCCACGTATAGACCGAAGGTTGCGCAACGATCCACGACTCGTTGGATCTCTCGGTAGATCCCATAAAGACCTTTTTTCCCGCATTAGGAAAGCCCGTGTCGGGGGATTTTTATCGGGATAAATTTCGACCGCAAGATCTTGGCTCGATGAACAATGGGAAGAAACGATATATGGTACGATGCCCCTAGGGGAGCGCCAATGGCGAGCGTTGCGTAATGGCGGACCCGGAGATCGGTTTCATTTTCAACGTCACGCCAATCCGGTAATGACAAGGTTCCGTCGGTCATTCCGGTTAACAATCCATAATCGAACCACGACACTCCCCGGTCCTGTCAGCTGCCCCGAGCACGCTTCTCGTTGGGCTCGTATTTTTTTCTATTACCGAATTTCGGCGGACCCTTTACGCAACGATTTCACGGAAGCGACTAGATCGCCCTGTGATCGATTTCCGGATCGACCGATACTAGGGGAAGGATGGGACGGTGCAATGTTTTCTAATTGCCCGTTCGACGTGCTCTCGAGCGGCATGATTACTACCGGTCGATAATACCCGTCGTCGAGGGATTAATCGAGTCCGTCGAAAGACCGTAAATCCGACATCGAGCGTACTTTGGCTAACAAGGAAGGTACCTGAGGTGTCCCCCTCCGATTTTGTTCATTTTTAAATATGTTATAGAGGACTAAAATCTAAGGGACCCGTGTTTTTTTTTTTTCAGCGGATAAACACTTTTAGGGGATGAAATTAGGCTTCAAGGTTGGCCGTGTAAGGGGGTAAGTTGGCTGTTTCATGTAGAAGCACTCGACCGATTTTCATGAAACAACTGTCTAAATGTAGGCAATGAAGAATTATGAAACATGCATTTGGAATTTCTCGAAAAAATTCTTTTTTAAGGGGTGAGCCACCCCTTTGAATACTTCTTTTACCCCTTACGCGAGCAGTAATTGCTCTATCCAATTGAAACTTGGTTAATTTACAGACCAGAACAATACAGAAAAAGTTTCATTTGGATAGAACAATTACTGCTCGCGTAAGGGGTAAAGGAAGTATTCAAAGGGGTGGCTCACCCCTCAAAAATGAATTTTTTCGAAAAATTCCAAATGCATGTTTCATAATTCTTCGTTCCCTACATTTTTACGGTTGTTTCATGAAAATCGGTCGAGTGCTTCTATATGAAACAGCCAACTCACCCCCTTGCACGGCCAACCTTGAAGCCTAATTTCATCCCCTAAAAGGGTTTATCCGCCGATAAGAAAAAACCTTCCTTGTAAGATGGATACTGACTCGCGAATCCGGCCGGTATTTATGGTTTACGTATCTCGGACGAACGGTGGCAGTCCATTAATCCGCTTGACCGAGGAGAGTTATTCGGAGCTCGCGGTCGGCTGCGCGTCCGCGCGTCCGCGCAGCCCGGTCATTAGCGGACGCCATCTTGTCTCGCGCGTCCACCTCGCGACTTTTCGCGGCTCTTCCGGCCGCGGTTCGAGGGGGATTCTCCTCGCGAGACGAATTTATCCTTCCACGCGTCTGCACCGATCGGCCAACCGGGGCGACGATCGCTCACTGTCCGCTCTCGGGTGTTTTCGAGCGGTTAACGTCCGCGCCGCGTTGTCCACGGCTTCCGAGAGCCCCGGGATTTAGGTTAATGTCCGTTGGCACCGACCACACGATCGAACCGTGCCGCCGCGAATTGTTACGCTGAGTTATCGGCACGCAGCTGCGTTACCGGTCGCGTTTTGCCTTCCTCCTCGGGGAGACTCGGAGTCCGCGTCGCCATTGTTCTACCCGAGCAAACGTTGCGGAAAGGACGTTGTTTTGGCCACCTGAGGGCATACTTCTTCTTCGGGAACTTTAAGGTGAAGTGAAACACGTCGATTAACTTGATCAACGTCGATAAAGAAGATTTTTCTAAATGCCTACGTTGCCGACGTTCGTTTTTATATTGACAGCTGTGTCGAATTATATTGGGTATTGTACCAAATGGCATACTCCACCTGTCGTTTTCGTACAATAATTATAAAGAAATTGAATGTAACTCCAGAAATCCTCTGGATTCATGCTTTCTAGGGCCCTAATTGACTGCGGAGGGACCCCCTGAGCCATCTGTGATTTCCAGATCAATTAAATTTTCACTCCGAAACCTCGTATTCCCATCGTTTTAGCATAGAAGCGCACACAACACTTTTTTTGCCTTTATCCCGTTCAAATGCGAGTTTATCGATTACCAGAGTGTTCTAAATTGTCGTAAAATTGTCCTGACCCTTTCGATTCTCATATCAGAGCCTTCGATAATTGTATACTGATCGAAATATGAGAGCTCGACGCCATTTTGGTTCTGGTCTGGACTGAGTTAAAAAATTTGTTTGAAGAATCCAAATTTTTAACGTGTCAGAACAATTCTTAGATGGTCAGAAGTGACGTGTCAAAGTTTCGGACAGTTTGGTCTAATACCCTTAAAAAAAAGTGTTGTATTCGAATCGACTGATTTGAAGGATGTTTCACTTCACCTCAATACTCCGGAAATCCCCCTTTCGATGCGATAACGTACACGAGGCTTCCCAGATGGCGCTCGCGCGGGCGCAGAGGTTAACGAAATATCTGTGTCACCCGACGAGCGGCCGGTCGGATCCGCCCGGCGTAAACAGGATGGAATTTGCATGCATATTCAACGGGGCCGGAGCCGCGAACGCTGGGCGCGTTATTGCGCCCGGACGGCGGCCAGATCGCGCCGCTTCCTCCGCTGATAGGAGAGTTTACGCGGCGCGGAATAATTAGACCGGACTCTCCGCGTCGGTCTCGCGTCTCTTCCCGGGCCTGTCTCGAGTTTGACCCCTACCGATCGATACTCCTCGAAACCGACGCCTCTCTAACCGTAAAAACAAAGAATTCAGAATCCCATAGAAGTCCAGATCCTATGTTAGCGCTTGATGCTCTAAAAGTTGGCTAACAAACCAGAAGTGGGAGTAAAAAAGAGATCGCACGTGTTAGCCAACGATATCTCACGGGAGGAAGAGAGACGCATATAGAAAGGCGAGTATTGCGTGTAAGATAAAGAGAGAATGCAATCGCTATATATCGCCATAAGATTAAGAGAGATGGAGAGGTGACTACAGCGCCGCCATCCGTTGGCTAACATACTATTTATCGAGCGTCGAACGTCCGTATACTTCTGGGCTTCTGTGGAGACTTCTGAATTCTTTGGTAAAAATAACGATTTTTTTCCCCCGCTGATAAGGGAAAGGGGACCCCGTTTAATCGAGAGGCGACCGGATTCCGAGGAAAGGAAAGAAAGGGACCTACCGGCGACGAGTCGGCTCGTAAAGCTTGCCTAATGGCGAGTTGAAATTCCCTGGTCGCTCGGTCGCAGCATTATGTGCAAATTCCCGCGGACACGGACGAGCGCGGACGAGCGCGCGTGCGCGCGCACCGACGCGATCCCTATATGGCCGCTCTCGGTAAACAACAGTGGTTGCCAAATCGCGGCCGCTATTAATAAGTGAAAATTCATTTGCGTAACGAGGGGAGCCCTCTCGCGCGGGGAGAGACGGGGAACGCCGACCCGAGTCGCGAGGAATCGTTCTCTCGAAAAAAGGTGCGGCCTTCGTCTCCTCCACTGGATATAGCAGATATTCTCCCTCTGCTCGAACTCGCCAGGAAGGATTAGACGCAACTTGGTCGAGAGAATTCCCTCGCACCGGTGACGAGTGTTTACATCGATCGCCGCGGAGGTCGCCGCGGATTGCGTCGCGGAAACGCCACCCAAACGTTCCCCCAGATGTCGCGGCTAACCTCCCGTGGGACTTGCTCCCGACGATTCCGCCGTGCGGAAAGTGGACGTTCGGTGGATTTGGAAACTCCTAATCGCTCGCGGAAATAATTCCTAACGAGCGATCTGCTCGAAGGGATGCCCGAGGATGCGCGCGCATCGCGACACTCCACCCGGAGCGATAACGGTCCTGGAATTATGGGAATTATCTCTATCGAGGAGGCGTTTATCCCTCTTGCGGTATCGCGGTCTCGACCGAGACGTATTATTTACCAGAGCCCCGAAGGGGGACGTGCGCGCCGAGGCGAGGTGCAATTTGGAGGTCCACGTCCCGCCCGGGGGAGAAATCTAATTCCCTTCCTCCGCGGGAGAGAAAGTAGGGGAGGCGCTCGAACGAATTACTCCCCGTAGATGCCAATCTCGTTTTAAGCCAGGGTCAACAAGGAGTTGGAATCGAGACGGAGATAAACCCGTAATATCCTCCGAAGGACCTCTCTCCCTCCCCCTCGATCGGACCGTGACATCAGCGGCCGTGGCGCCGAGCTCGAAATATGTGCCGATGTAAAAAAAGACGTGTCCCGGTCTTGTGAAAAAAATAAAAAATTCCTGAAACCTGAGGCCACGACTCGGTTCTTTTTTTTTCTCGCGATAATGGATCATTATACAGCCTCCTCAGGGTCATCCACCGTTCATCGCGGGCGGTGCCTCGAAATACATCCGAGTTTACGCGACACCCACGTGTCGTCGACCACGTGGTCGGGTTTTCACCCCTCGAGAGGAACGACTCCCGTCTCGATACTTCGCCCTCGGCAAAGCGGTGCGAACGAGGTGCAAAATTTTAATACG